TACCGGATCCGGTGGGGCCGGGTCGACTCCAAACGCACAGCCTGGAGGTGAAGTCAGAGCGAGACTGAGACCGGCCTCTCCCGCGCCCTGCTATGCTCCTGCCCCCGTGTCACAGCACCCCCTGCTGGGGAAGGCGGGTTGGGCCGTGCAGGCTCCGCCCTCTCGCTCATCTCCCAGCGCCCCCTACTGGAAAAGGCAGGGCAGGGCTGTGCATAGGAGGAAGAGTCTGCGATTTCCCAGCACCCCCTGCTGGGGAGCAGCTTCCCAGGGGATGTTAAGAGATGAGCCCCTGGGTCTCTGCTCTGTTCTCGGGTCAGTGTGCGGCTGGGCTCAGGGATGCACTCAGAGCTCTCCGGGCTGGTGGGCCCCGGGGGCACAGGCAGCGTGACTCAGCCTCACAAGCAAGGGCAGCGCTGAGCAACCCTGGGAAGCTGCCTGCAGAGTCCTGGGGCTGGACCGTGTAGCCGGCTCTGGCTGCCAGCCCAGGAGGCGAGAGCGAGAGCCCTGCAGCCATAAATGGGGAACTGGCTGCTGAGAAACAAAATTCCACAGGCAGGGAGCCCCTCCCCCAACAGCCACCATGCTGCAGACAGCAAGCAGCCTGTCCTCCCCTGCAGGGGGCGCTGTCACACCAAGAAGGGGGAGGGACCTGCACAGCCCTTCCCTCCCCAGCAGGGGGTGCCAGGACTCCAAGGAGGGGGAGGAGCCTGCACTGCTCTGCCCTGCTTCCCCAGCCAGGGGTGTTGGGAAACCAGGAAAGGGGAGGAGTCTGCATGGCCCAGCCCCGCCCCCAGCCTGGCTTGACATCCTGTACCCAGCAGGGCCATGCACGGGAGTGGTTAATAATTCTCCAGTCAGGCTGGGTCAGTGCCAGGGCCAGGGGGAGGGGCCAGGCCTGAATTGCAAACAATGAATAATGCTTGGGCAATGGCCTGACTCCAGCCCTGAGCCAGCCTGCTGGGGAGGGAGTCTGTGCAGGCAGGGCTGGGGAGGGGGGTGGGGGGAAAGGGCAGTAACAGGACTCAGGAGAGGGGCAGTAGGGGTGCAGGGAGGCACAGGGCTGGGGGCGGGGGTTCCACAATTTGTTCCTTATCCTCCCCACCTACAGAATCAACTCCAAGCTGTGCTTCCCCTCCCTGCCCAGGGCACTGGCTGGAGACCTAGGTGCCCTGAATGGAGGCGGCACCAGGATGAGGTGGGGTGGGAGCAGTGCGTTGTGGGTACACAGATGGCTGCTCCTGCAGTGCTGGGGCCAGGGGGCTGGATGGGCCTATAGGGCTAATTTGGGATAGGGCGTGATAGTGGGAAGATGCTGGACTGGATGGGTCCTTGGGGCTGATCTGGGGCAGGCTGGCAGGGAGGTAGATGAAGGGATGGGTTGATCCCAAGCTGCATGGACCCAGTGACTTCACGATTGGATGTAGTGCCTGTCGCCCTCTCTGCTCCCTGTCCCACTGTTTCTGGCCCCTAGTCTGGTCTCTCCGGGGATCCACCTCGTGCCAGCCATGCCCCATCTCACCAGGCGGATGCCATCCTCTGGCCGCAGCAGCCCCCTCCTCAGCTGCAGAGGCAGCTCCTCCATTCTGCATGTACAAGGGAAGCTGGGGCCCTGGGGCAGAGGAAGGAGTCACTGTCCAATTTGGGCACATCAGCTTCCACTGAAAGAAAGAATCTAGAGCTGTGAACACAGTCGCCCAGAGTCCAGTCATCTGTCTGAGTCTGCAGGCAGGCAGCCCCCGTGCCTCAGCGGCTGCTCAGAGCTTGACCACACACAGTTTAGTTCCTGCATGTACAAGGGAAGCTGGGGCCCTGGGGCAGAGGAAGGAGTCACTGTCCAATTTGGGCACATCAGCTTCCACTGAAAGAAAGAATCTAGAGCTGTGAACACAGTCGCCCAGAGTCCAGTCATCTGTCTGAGTCTGCAGGCAGGCAGCCCCCGTGCCTCAGCGGCTGCTCAGAGCTTGACCACACACAGTTTAGTTCAAGATCAATTGCAGGGCAGCTGAGCAAGGAAAAGTCTCCAGGGACAGATTAGTTTCACCCTGATGCAAAGGCTGTTGTGATTCATGGGGGCAAGACTCAAAAACTAGTGATGGGAGAGGGATTGAGAGGAGCACCCTCCCGCACAGTAGTCTGTATGTTTGGGGGACCAATGAGGGGCATAGTCCTTTCTCCTCTCCAGCAGCCATAGGGCAGGACTTTCAAATGCAAAAAAAACTGGGCTCAGGGTGGGAATCCCAGCACCACTTCCTTCTTCCAAAAAGGGCACTTGGACAATTTTCCTCCCTTGCGAATCCTCCATGCCTGCAACCCGTCTCCCACCCTAGGGACCCTAAGCAGTCGGGGGGCGGGGGGGCAGTCCTGGAGATGGGATTTAAGAGTTTACAGCCTCACCGTCGCTGTAGTTGGCTCCTCCTGGAAACCGCTTCATCCTGTAAAAGAAACAGAGACAGCTGGATCAGTCCCTGCATGGGGTGGGCATGTGGGACCACAACCCCCAGGTGGGGCCAGATATGTGGATGACCCATCCCCCAAACTGCCATGTAGGCTGGGCAGGTCCCGAGCCAGGAATGAGGCTTTGGCCCTATGGGTTGTGGCCCCCCCAAGCACTAGCTGGCACTGCAGGGCCCCAGGGAGTGTCCTGAGCAGCAGCGCCGGGTGGGAGCTAGCACCTGCAGACGCTTGAATAAGAGCCAGCCAACTGATCACTCTGCCAGCACATCTCGCAGTTCACATGGTGGCCTTGTAGTATGTCACCCTAAGTGGCCCAGACCTAAAACCAACAAGGCGGTGGAGTCGGGGGAAGCTCGCAATCCCCATACCCCGCTCACAAAGACTTTGCCTTAAACAACCAGGGAAATTCCACAGCAAAAATCATTGTGAAGGCTGCAAATGGAAAGACAGGGTTGCCAGTAGGGATGTCAACGTGTAGTCGACTACATGACTAACTGATATGCCTGGGCCTGTATCGCAGGCAGCAAAGGAGGGGGAGGGGGTAGCCATGCCCATGAGGAGCCAGCATCGGCTTCCATGGAGTCACTCCGCTCTCCCACCTAGTGCTGCGGCCTCTCTATCAGAGGCACCAGCATGGGGGATGAAGGTGCAGCAGACAGGAGCCGACACGCATGAGGAGCCAGCTTTTAAGCCAGCTCTCTGTGTATTCCAACTCCACAAGTCACCTGCCTCTCTCCCCAGCGCTGCTGTGCCTATCAGAGGCAGCAGCACAGGGGGAGGGGCAGAGGAGGCTGCTGTGGAGCAGCCTCTGTCCACAGGAACTCGGGCCTCCAACAGACAGGGGCTGCAGTCACCCTACGCTGCTGCCTCTGATACAGAGGCAGCACATGCAGGACGGCAGGGGGCTCCCTGGGAATGAGGCCAGGACTGCACTGGCTGCTGGCCCCACCCCCAAGAACTATCAAATAAAGTAACCGCTAAGTTTTTGATGCGGTCACACGATTATTAAGTTGCATATTGATTAACATCCCTAGTTGCCAGGCACACATGCCCTGGCAACCTGAAACAGCTGCCCCATTCATCCACCCTGTGCAGCACATTTCTCCCTGGAGAGCAGCAGGGTAAGGGCAGGGAGGGGGACAGGGCATGGCTGAAGAGCCATTGAGGGAGGCCTCCTGGGGTCATGTAGGTGGGGAAGGGGCAGCCTGGGGAGAATTGCAGACAAAGCTGAGAGAGCAGCTCTGGCACAGGGGAGGCAGCCTGGAGCACCATGCTGGGAAGAGGGGAGAGGAAAGAGAACTCCCCCTTCAGTGCACGTGCGCACACACACACACAGAGCCCAAGAGGTATTCTACATGAGGATTCCTGCTCAGCTCATCCAACTCCTTTCCCTCCTAGAAGTGGGCACAGAGAGTTGACGGAACATCAGGGTCATGTGGCTGATGTGCCAGAGAAGCCAGGCATTGCAGAGGGGGTCAGAGATCCATGTAGACTGGGAGGTCAAAGTCGCTGGCACAGGAAGCTGGAGTTCCATGATCTCAGCTGGGATTTGCCACCTGCTGCCAGAGCTCAACAGGGAAATGTACACATCTGGATCACTCCTGCATCTACTTGGAGCATTGACTAGGCCACGAGCCCTTTTCGGTACCATCCCCGGCCTCCGTCTGCGAGGCATGGCATGGCCTTGTGGTTCCCTCTTGGGAGCTGGAGCAGGGCTTGCAGCCCAGCGACAATTTCCTCTGACATTTTTTAGTGTGGAAAATAAAATTAACAGCATCCTGGCCCTTCCCGAGCAGCAGCTCCCAGCAGAATGCATGCCACAGACACGATGCTCACAAGCCCACGCAGCCGAGAGACTGCTCTACCAGTGAAAGGGGAGGGGAAGGGGGGCAGGTTCGCTTGGAGAGCAAATCCCGGTACTAGTGCTCTGGAAATGGGACGAGGGGGGTGAATTCTGGCACTGGTGCCCTGGGGCGCAAAGCCCACAATGCTCAGAGTGACTTTGCAAGACTGCAAGACACTAGCTGGAGAGGAAGCAGCCTCCGAAGGAAGTGTCAGTTTGTGAAACTTAATGACAAGTCAGGACCGGTGCTGATAAACCACTGGGCTGCGCAAGGGTGATTAGAGCCATCCACAAGCACTGGCGGCCTATGTGTAATGACAGCCCTCTTGTCCTGTTCACTACAGTGCTCCCCACTGGCAGAGCCCCGGCTGCAGAAGCCAGGCACACCTGGTACAACCAGTGTCCCCACCCCACGCCCTGCAGTGCCCCCTGTTGGCAGAGACTGGGGCTGGGGCTGGAGCAGCAAGGCACCCCCCCCTACAGCACCCCCTGCTGGCTCAGGGCAGGGCTGGAGAAGCAGGGCCTCTTGTCCTGTTCACTACAGTGCTCCCCACTGGCAGAGCCCCGGCTGCAGAAGCCAGGCACACCTGGTACAACCAGTGTCCCCACCCCACGCCCTGCAGTGCCCCCTGTTGGCAGAGACTGGGGCTGGGGCTGGAGCAGCAAGGCACCCCCCCCTACAGCACCCCCTGCTGGCTCAGGGCAGGGCTGGAGAAGCAGGGCACACCACACACACACAGTGCCCCCCCCACAG